AAGTTGAGAGCCATCAAACTTCTGCTCCAATTCCAAATGAAGGAGAGAGATTGAAGAAGCAGAAGGCAGAAAAGCACCGATTCGGAGGAAGATGGGAGACGGTGTGCTGCTCTGTCCGTAAAACGAAGAATTAATTTATAAAATGTGTGGCGGTGACAGCGTTGGATTGTCAGATGCTCTGTTTTTTTGCATGGAAGTGAGCGGGGAGGTTGAGGAGAGCGTGTCCTCCGGTTCGGGTGGATTCGCTTTTGGGCTTAAACCAATATCTAAACCAAACGTATCAACACAACTGCAGTCTAAATCTGTTTAACTCGGTATGGTAAACCGAATTTGAATCTGTGATCTGGTCAAAAAAAAGAAAAAAAAGAAAAAAAGAAGGAACTAAATCTATGAGTATCGGTCTGAAATGAATAAGGCTGATATGAGTCAATTTTTAATAGGTTGAAGGGAATAGAGAAGGGAAAAAAGAGAAGTTATTTATTTAATTAAATTATAATATTTTTAAAAAGTTATGATTTAATTAATTAAAAAATCTTTTCATTTTTTTTCTAAATTTAAACATATTGTAAATTTGAATTGAAGTTTGATTTAAATTGTATTTTTAAATTTGGACATTTCTTTAAAATATTTTAATATTTAAACTCTACTTAAAACTTATAATTTAATCAAATTAGAACAAATCAAAATTAAACTATAATTAGTGAAAACAAATTGAGCAATAACTTTTTTTTATATTCTTATAATGATGAGTTATATTAAAAAAAATAATTATTCTTTTTTTCATTTTTTTTAAATCTCTTCTTACTTGATTCAATATTTAAATTTAATATTTTTAATTTAAAATTTCATCTCTTAACCAATTAAATTAACCAACTAAGGCTGCATGAACTATATATCTATGACTTGCTACAATGAGTGTAGTACATCCCTAGTTTTACATCAAATTCACTGCACCTAACCGAGTTGGTTTGAAGAAACCGAACCAACTTGTTTGGTTCGTGCTGGTTGCTAATACTACTACACTAAATGACAGAATAATCCAGATAGGCAGAATGGGAAGCGGACCAATAGGGACGAGGATAAGAGAGCGAAAAGGATTATTGTTTGAAAACAGAAAAGGGTGATTTACCCTTTATAGATTAAGCAGGGTCCACTTCTTCCACTGTTTCAGCCCTTTTTTTTAAGGTTGGTACTATTGAAACGAACTTTTTATCTCATTTTTTTGTATAATTTTTATATGTCATTATATGAGTAGATGCATTTAATATCACAAGTTCTACATGAATTAATTACACATTAGGTTGTATAAAAAGGTGAGACAAAAAGGTTGTACCAATAGCATTTTCTTTTTTTTTTAAAAAAAAAAAAAAGCAAGAGGTGCAATTCAGCTCCTTTACTTCAATTGTTGTGGCATTTCAGACCCACTACTTTAAAGTAGTGCAAATCAGACTCTTTACTTGACAAAAACCTGCAAATCAGCCTCGTTACTGACTTTATGTTTGCCTTTTTATTGCCCCGTTAATAGAAGGTTACATGGCATTGACTACAATATGACATGGCAAAAAAAACGCAATATGATGCTGATTAGGACATGACAAGGTAAGGGTTTCAATTCAAGAGTATATTTCTTTCTTTTCCTTCTTCAATTGAAACACACCATTCCATTGCCTGATATATTCTTCCATCTTCATTGACCCACAAACCCATGCCCAAACCGAAACCCAAATGATGCTAAAGTTTTTGAGGACTTTCTTGGTGATTCCTCATCAATTGTTCAACATTTTAATAGCCAAATAGAAACCCAAGACTTCTCCCTCACCTAAATCTACAATCAAGGGACCACCTACAAAAAGTAATAGAATTTTAAGGCAATTGTTGGGTTTCAAACATTTTCTACCAACCAAGACTAGAAGTTGATCTCCAGTACTTAATAGGCCGAACTCAATTAACCAATTTTGAGTTCAATGGTTATTCACTAAGGTCACTGAGCATTAATTTGGAGTATTCTAATTGCTCCACTGGAAAAATAGGTGGGATTGCTATGTTTATTCGTTTTGGGAGTGTTTGATTTTATGATATATTCTTTTGATTATTAGGTGTTGAGTGATATAGATTAGGAAGGTTGGAGCCTCTTTTTGTTTCGCACATAAAGTGTTCAATTGATTGTCTAAGAGGATCATGTTGGTTTTGTATTCTTGATTTGTACTAGGATATTGCTTCAACAGTAAAGAGGCACATATGAATCCATAATTTTATTTTTTTTTTCCAATTTGTGTTTTATTAAAAAACATTTGAATCCGCACCTGGTCCTTCAGGCCAATTGACAACCGGCCAAGGTGCATTCCCCCTCTTCCATGGGTGGGCTTCCAACCCGTCCCTTGACAACTTGTTCAAAAAAAAAAAAACATTTGAATCCATTTGAGATATTTTTCTAGAACAAATAGATATTACACATACTTTTATCCAAAATAAAGTTTGGTGGATTTGTGGTTACTGGAGATGGAGACTCAAGGGGTAAATCATTTGTTGCCTGCAAAGTTACAAATTTTGATTTTGATTTCAAGTTTTATCTTGATTTTTATATTTTCATATTTTGATAGGCTTTTTTTTTTTAAAAAAAAAAGATTTGGGTTTAGACTTATTTGAAGAAAAATTCAACTTGAATTTTTGGAAAAAAAAAATGTAGATTTGCAATAGGAAGATAGAGAATGTAAAGGAGGAGAGAGAAGATGGATGGAAGAAAAGAAAGAAGACAAGGACTCTTTAATAATTTTGTAGTTTAAATTGACCACATCACCCACCCAATGCCATATCTACACAAAGCCATTCCTTGGCAACCAAGTAACAAGGACATAGACGGAAAGATGACATTTGATGATGTTATCATTAATAGAAGAGCTGATTTGTGGGTTTTGTTAGGTAGAGGGGCTGATATGCACTACTTTTAAATAGAGGGACTGACATACCGCAACAAGTAAAGGGGCCAAATTGCACCTTCTCATTTTAAAATAGGTTTAGGAGATATATTAAATTAAATAAAATAATACGGGTGTAATTTTTGAAGAGTTTCTTTTAAAACATTAGACTAAGAATGGCGAATTCAGTAAAAATGAGGTGGATTTGACAAGTAGCATTAAGACTTACCCACCTATTTTAGATTTTTTTAGGGAAGAAAGTAATAATTACACTATTAATTACACATATTTAAAAAACCTCTCCTTAACCGAGCTTGAAAATCCACGCACAAATGTAAGAGGGATATAGAGTGTTATAAATTATAATTCATTATGGCTGGTTATAACAGAAAAAAAAAATAGGGCAAATTTCCCATAAAGAAATCTTCCTAAATATTGTCTGAAAACCATATCTACCCATTCAAAAGTGTTTGCATGACAAATCCATGGCCAAGCCACATTTATTACTACAATAATCCAACTTACAGCAAGAGAGAATTATGTTTAAACAAATCTATTATAATTACTGCAGAACTTTGCAAATTAAACATTATGATCAAAGAATATACGTGCTACCACCCACCACAGCAAGTGGATCAATAATTCCTTCTACACTTCATATCTGGACCACAATCTTGCAAATGGTTTCACACATTGACTCAAAAACAACCTTTAAAGTTTAATCAATACAGAGAAATAATACAAATAAGTAACAGAAGCAAAAACATCCTGAGATAGTTATTCCAATTCCACCCTCCTACTCCCTTTTTCACCACAACAACCATATGAGCTGCATCCTTCTCCTTCCTTCTCTTTACCTTCTAAATGGGTCCTCCTATTGCACATATCTTTTTCATTTCTAAGTACATGAAAATTTTCCTTATCATACTATGAGTTTGCATCCACATTATTATCAAGTAGGGCTATCTGTTGGTAGAAAGATTATGTGTTAAGAAATTTGAAGTGGGGCATAGAGATATACTAGAAAACAATGAAGGGAGTATTTCATCGACAGATATGATATCAAGGTTTTTGCAAGGAGCTACGTTTAGTGCTTAGAGAGAAAATTGTGCAGAAAAATGTAGTAGGCAATGCATCCAACCAAGCAGAAGTGAAGCAAGGAATCAAAACTAACAGATAAAATGTTAGTACCAACAAGGGCTAAATAAGTTTTCACTAATTTAAATGCCTAAAATTGATGTCAAGATCTAGAGTTTAAACCTTTAGCAATGTTAAGAAATTATCATTCCTTATGCGCAAAAAAAATACAATGCTAGCTTTTATTACCAGCCAACTCAAATCTGAAGAACTTTGATGGAGTAGTGAATGATCGGCTAGCTGGCTAGGCATCGTTGGATAGTTGAACCTCGGATCTACCTCTTCCCTCCTCCTCGTCCTCCTCATTCCACCGTGTGGTCCTGTAGTAGGTAGCGTAGAGTATGATCTGCACCATACCCGACAAGGTTCCCAGAGCATTTGGAATCTACAAGAAAAGAGGCAAAAGAAGAAGAAGTTGCTTCAATTCAATATAAATAAATTCCATTGAAAATCTTGTTATGTAAGGATATTGTATGCATATATACAGAAAAATTAAAAAGGATCTCTTAGCAGAGTAGATAAATAATTACCAAGATATAAAGATCAAATTTGAGGACTGCATAAATAACCCAAATAATGCCATTGAGCAAGTTAGCAAGGGAAAGAGAGAATGGCATATACTTGACACTCTTTGTTTTGATCACCAGCGTCTGCCAAATTAAAGAGATATATATATATATATATTGTTGTTAATTATTAATTAATTAATTAATTAACTAATAAAAAAAGACAAAAAAAAATAGATATATAGTATTTGAAAGAAAGAAAAATTGAACAAGTCATACCATGACTGTCAATGGTGAAGCGTACATAGCTACACTGAAGATGATACACAGAATTCCCACAAACATAGTTCTAGTTTTGGTGGTGTGAAAGAAATACAATGTAACGAAAACTACAATAGCCGTGAAGATTACTTCAATCACAAGGTACAGGAAGATCCTCCTCTGCATCACAATTTAACTTAATTTAATTTAATTTGCATATATTAATTAATTCAATTGCAATAAAATTAAATAGAATTTTTTTAA